GACGACTGAGCACATTTATTAAGTACAAACGTAGGAAGTGCACAAACATAACGCAAACTAAACGAGCTTTCCATGCATCTGATTGCCATTATGGCTAGTGTCCACTACTTTGGACCAAAATCTCCTGCGTATACAAATATCATGTAATGAGTTTAAGGTTACAGAGCAAATAAATTTGCACACAATTAGCAGATAGCCTGGTTTGTCCACAACTTTGGACCAAACCCCATTTACAAACACATCATGGCAGTTAGGTTGAGGTGTCCACTACTTTGGACGAAAATCCCTGTGCAAAAATATATTACGCCATTTAGGCTGGGGTGTCCACTACTTTGGACCAAAAAACCCTACCTACAAACGTATCATGCTAGTTAGTCTGGGGTGTCCACTACTTTGGACGAAAATCCCCGTACACAAATATATCACGCCAGTTAGGCTGGGGTGTCCACTACTTTGGATCAAAACAACCCATACACAAACATACCATGCCAGTTAGCCTGAGATGACCGCAACGTTGGACAAAAACCCCATAGACAAGCATATTATGCCAGTTAGGCCGAGTTGTTTACTACTTTGGACCAAAAACCCCGGCAAAATACAAATATATCGTAACATTTAGGCTAGCAAACTAGAAGAATTACAAGTAAAGAACGCTAATACAGAAGAGGATAATACTAACGGAGCTGAGCAACCACTAACAATAGAAGTGCGATTAGAACGGAGGCCAGAAAAAACCTGCCGTAAAAAACCCATTGGGGAAAAAAGCAGAAAATCTGTGTAGGAACCATGGCGCATGCTCCGGCGATTGGTAGCCTTTCCTACGGAGGCTTTACAAAGGTAAGACTGTCGATAGCGCAGTAAAAATACCTGAAAAACTAAAATGAAAAAATTAAACGGAGCTCTGAACAGGGTTGATTCAGAGTTCTAGATGACTATCACGTGCTACACTCCCCCATATATACACCTCTCTTTCAACCAATGATGCACCAGCCTGGAGCCCAGGCCGCGTTCTGTCTTCTGCCAGCAAAATAGTTATTTCGGCCTTCTTCGGAAGCTCATTCGTCAGAAATAACATATTTTGTCTCTACTTCACAACAAATGAACACACAGCTAATTGGCAAATAAGTTTATTTGGGGAGGGTCTGGCAGGAACCAACCCAAACACTATAGAGCGACAAAGTATTGGACGCACGAGAAAGGAAAGCAAAAAATTAAAGAGTTAAAAACTTCGAAACTGTGAGTGAGTCGACTTTGCTCGGTGCTGTCATCTACCCAAGTGTTTTTCGCCTCAATAGACTTCCAGCGGCCAGGGCGCTGAAAAATGTGGCGTTAATGCCATTATCAGCCGCCGAGGTGGCCTCGCCCGAACGCAAGGAATGAAGACCGAACTTAGATGGGTCATCCTTAATGTTTTTCAAGTCCCGTCGAAATCCATCCCGAATACAGCTGTAGGTGATAGGCTAATCTGGGAAGACCAACTTGCAAAAGCCCTTCCCTTAGAAATGGGCTTGAAAATGAGGTCCCGTGAATTGGGAGGAATGTGGAATTTATCTAAATACCTCCCGGACCAGACTAACGGGACATGTGGGGCTAGACATGCAGCTGAGAAATAACTTCTTCGTTCCCTCTGTGGAGCTGGTCATTCTTACTTTTATGCACCTGAATTACCGTGAAGTCTTCATTAAGGAAATATCACTTCTTCTAACTCTAGAAATTGATGTCATCAAATCTGAAAAAGCCAGTGAAACAAAGAACATACATGGTAACATTACGCAAATCCACAGGGTTATCCAGATTGGCATGGCAGACAACTTTATGGAACAAATGTGAGGAACCAGCCTCTTTACGGTTGACAGTAGCAGTGCCAAGAATTCTATTGGATGCCGACCTAACAGCCTCAAAAACACAAGTGTTGGTTGGAGAGGGAACCCCAGTCATATTATGGATTCATGGACCCATTTAATGCCGCAGAAAGGCAGAATCAATCACGCTGGGAGACTGGGACTACTCTATGAGATGCTGTAAGTAAAGAGCTACCTGAAAAGGGTCAGCAGGAAAACTATTTTCCGTAAGCTTACAGAATGCGAACTCTTTTCACTTGCGAAATGCACGGTGATACTGTAAGGAAGTGCTGTAGGCGTTAGAGGATCAATCTGTCCGTGATATTCAGGATAAATCCATCTCCTGGAATCACCTGCTCTCGCCAGAAAGCAGAGCAAAAACATCTGAAAGGACAAAAAAGAGCACTAAGCAATATCTTAATAATTGTAAGTAGAACATACAGCCAAGACATGCATTCTAGTCTTGAGTGGGACGAGGGGTCCTGGGACGGCTGAAATCGTTTCTAAGCGCTGCAAAATCGAAGTTTAACGATCTGGAACCAAAGAGGGCGTTACGCACTTTCCCTTTGATGAACAGTCCCTGGAACTTTGGAAGGTACGCCCAGTCGATGACAAAATTGTTCCAGTGGACTCCATCTTTAAAACAAGAATTCCAAAAGAAAGATGACTTGCATACGGGGGACTATTAAGGCCCCCCTGGCGTGGCACAGCTCTAAACGCTTTATGACCATAAAAATGAGGTAGACTGGGAGAGACAACCAATTATTAGTGAATCCCCATTCCCGGCAAAACGCGACAACTGTTTCGGACCACCTAGGGTTAAATCTGGGTAGTTTGGCGTTGTAACTGCAGGCAAACCTGTCCACACTATGAGGGTCCCAAAGCTCACCTAAATCCTGAAAGATAACATCGTTTAGTTCATAATCATTAAAATCCATAAGCTTGGCGATTAGTTCCGCTCTAGGGTTTTAAAGATCCCTGGGGATCCACTTAGGATCCAAAGATATACGAAACTGTGGTCAGATGTGAAACGCTATGGAGGGCGAGCAATTGAAGGTCGACCTTCCGGCTGCCGTTAACTAGAATGGAAGCGACACTCTGGTTGTCAGAATACTAGACGACTTTAGAACACGATAGATGGCTTGCAAACGCTTCTAAGGGGAGGCACACAGCGTAAAGTTGCCTCCACGTCGAACTTTGCGCGCTCTCCGCGATCGACCAGTTTTGGTGAAACACCAGTTCAACCTCCGATTGCAATTGGACGAACGCACCACAAGCTAAATCAGAAGCATCAGAAAAACTAATCTTGGCAGGAAGAGACCTAACCCCCCAATATACTTTGCCATTTAGGGTGTGAACATTGTGTCTCCAAAAATCAATTTCAGACATGGCATCCTGGGTAAGCAATACTACACAGTCCCAAGAAAATCAAACCGGCAATGCTTGCTACGCGCTTGATGAGAACGCGCGTGGGATGCTGAGGGAAAAAGAGTTGTTTGCCGCCTTTTCTTGGGTGCTTCCAAGTTTAATATGCTTTGCATCATAGATTTTAAAGTTAATCTTGCAACTTATCGATCTCACAACCAGGTATATAACAACGTTTAGAGAGATAACGATTCGTGCCAAAATGGCGGTTACAGGAAAGGTTTTAATCAATGCTCGCCAACAGTGATTAATTTATTTAACGATTTGAATTTTTTTCCTATGCTAGCTGTTCAACCAGCTGAATTCACGAGAGTGGGTGATAAAAAACAATTGTTTTAAACAATGTTTAAAGATAAGTTACCAAGCCAATTTTCCCAACCGTAGAATTTTATTGTTACTGATGTTTGCCCCTCTCTTTACAATCATAACTTGATCTATAAATTTATTGTCCAACTGCAGCGAATACCGTCCAAATAACAGTCCAAATATACAGCGATATTGTACAGTTATTTGTACAGTAGAAAACCTGTTTGCCGTACTGGCAAACTCGTTATTTGTATTTTGACTAAGGGCTACTCAAAATACGGCACAACTCGTAAAAATATACAGCGATACTACACACCAAAACGGTTAATTAGATATATGCACTGGGTAGTTTCTCGTCAAAGTGGCATGTGTAATGACGTTAAGGTGATTCCCTAGTAAAAGAACCCACCATAGATTTCCGATGAAACTTGGTATTCTGTTCTTACAGGACAAGGAGATATTACAAACGTAGTAAAAAGAGGGGGTCACCTTGCTTGTTTTCATGCCACAATGCTGACATATACGGTTATTTAGGTGAATTTTGGTAATCTCCATGCGCAACAAATAAGCTCGATTATTTTTCAATGCAGCGCGTTATATCACACAGAGTTTGACTTTCTTTGCTTGTTTATTCATCTACGTCCCGGAAAAAAATGTCTTCAAATACCCTGCATCTTTTTATCCTTTGAAGGAAACATAATTTGGACATGCGTTGTTGGGCCCGTTATGTCTCCCTCTGTAGTATTTATTTCATTTGCCAAAAAAGTAGCCATAGATTTCTGATAATATTTTTCTCTGTTATTGAGGATATTGTTGTCATTGAAATTATAAAATAAAAAGTGGGGGTCATCGTGCTCGTTTAAGATAAAAGGAGCATTTATTTCGTTATCGAGCTTATTTTGAGGGAAATCTCTTACGTTCTGTACGTGCACGCGCTCATGTGCGCGCGCTAATGGCGCGAAAATCGAGCGCGGTAGGGATGCGCAATGCAATACTAAGGAATCACCTTAAGTGTATCAGAAAACAGCTATAATATGCTGGGTTATGTTTCGCACTTTCAAATTTGGTTCTAGAACTTTAAAAATAATTTAAGGAACTTGTCATGGAATGCTTAATTACATCCCATAGGAACAGCTTGTTTAGAATCATATTTATTCCGTAACACTCGATTGTGTGATTTGTATTCTTTCATTACGTAACCAGTTCTGTTCAATACTTTTGTAATTAGTCCTTAACCAATAGTTTTCTTT